GTAGTAACGGGTGGTGGTACGAAAACGTTTGAGTGATGGTTGGGGATTTGGCAGGGGAGGGGAGGAGGAGGAGGGGTAGAGAGAGAGAGAGAGAGAGAGAGAGAGAGAGAGAGAGAGAGAGAGAGAGAGAGAGAGAGAGAGAGAGACTGCCGCACTCAACCAACAACCCATACTTGTTACAAATGTCGGAATTCTGACACTGTGGGTTGCGTCAACATTGCTTGTCAGGGCTAACCCCGTGTGTGGGGGACAAATGCAAATATAAAACAAAAATAACAAGAACAAAATATGTTTTTTTTTAAATAATAAAATAAAATAAAACAATATTACATTTCCTCCACGCGAGAATCAAATTTTCGTGGCAATGATACCCGACCCTGTTCCAATTTTCACCCGACCCCTGTTTAAAAAAAAAAAGAAAAGAAACCCCAACCCCACAACGACAACGAAGTAAAAATGACTACTCAGACTCAGACACAGAGAATGATGACTCAACAGCCTGCATCAATGTCAAGTTCTTGACCAACAATACAAACACAACACAAATAGAACGACGAGTAATAGGAGAATGCCAGCCTTGAAAGGGCGAGAATATCCTGACAAACACACTGACAACTGATCAACGTCCCCAATTTTCTTGCTTTCTTTTCTATTTTTTTCTTTACCCGGTAGTTTCGATCTGAAAGGGCGTCAAACGAAAATTTGATCCGATCGCTGCAAAATTTCTGAACGACAAAGCGGATCGGATTACTCGCTTTTGTCTGAGAAGCAATGGCTATTTCCGTAGCAACTTACACGCAGAACACTAGCATCAAAGAATGTTCCCCCTCTATAAATTATGTTTTTAGCCTACTGCATAATTTGTTGGGTTTTTTAAAAATCATAACGTAAAGCCCCCAACATCAATTAATTACAGTTGTGTTGTTTTTTTCGGGACAAATGTCTGGGTGACATTTTCGAACAATTTGTTGGAACACAAAAGCACCCCAAGGAGGAGGGGGAGGAGGGGGTTAGGGAAGGGAAATGTGGGGGCGTATTCAATAAAAGACAGATTTCGAAAAATGTCCACTTACAAAACAACCTGCGATTCATTCTATCGTAT